CACATTTTACTTTAATTTGCTTTGTGCTGAAGTATATAGAGTTAGATAGAAGGAAAGTCAGTCTTGCTTTAGAAGAAAACTGCTTAGAATATTTATCTTTGTTTTTTTATTTTTACTCCAATTTTTACAAGCATAAAAATTTACTCCGAAATTGACTTTGCCATCATTTAAAACGCATGATTTTTCTACATAAAGTACTCAGAAAGATTTGCTTCAAATGGTCATACAAAATAAATTTCTCTATGTTGTAGAGCTGAAAATTCTCTATAAAATGAGCATAAAATTTTTGTGTAGTGGAAAATGAAATCATGTTCACTACCGCACATGTTAGAGATAAAAACGATTTCGCTGTTTCCACACACGAATTGAATGCAATGTGCAAAGTGCACGCAATCTGCAGATTTTTGACCTAGAGGAAAATTCTTTTCCCTTTTGGTCTACTCTAACAGCAACGAAGTTGCGAATTTTCAGATTTTGCATACGAATTGTTTGCGATGTGCAAAGAGCGAGCAATTTGTAGATTTTTCGACATAGGGATAAAAGGCTTTTGAATTTTGATAATTAGCATAGTTCTAATCTGGTATAATAATCTGGTCAACACGCTTTCTATGAATTCACGCGTCCACAGCGAATTAGCTGACTCCTCAACCAGTTGTATTTTGGAATTTGTAAAACGCTTAGAATTTTCAGCAACATCTAATTTTGAAATTCCTGCTATTCGTTTAGTAAAAAGTAGGAAAAGCAGCAAAACTTGGATGTTTACAAACTCTGCTTTTATGGATTTTAATGGGCTTAGATGAACTTTGAAAGTTTACTGAAGGTCAAAGTACACTGGACTTTCTCAAGTCTTTAAAGGCCGAAAAAGTCCACATGAGTCCATCTAAATCGACTGCACAAAAATTAAAAAGCGTTCTCCATTCTTTCATGCGTTTCCTTTTCTATCCCAATTTATTTGCGCTCTCTGAAAAATTAAAAACGTTCTCATTTCAATCTAATTGCGTTCTCTTCTAAATTTTTGTCCGCGTTTTCCGTTCTTTTCTTTTATTATCTTCGTCGATTGATCATAAAAGTAAATAAAGTTTTTTCTCTTAGTTTTTTTCAGTCTTATCAAGAAGGCCGTACACTTTATGACTTTGAAGCATCTGAAAAAGAAAAATCATTTCTTTCATTTGAATCAAAGGAAAGAAAGAGAAACTGGCTATACAAATAACTAATGGGCGAAACAGGGACTAAAACAATAATTATTTCTGGTTGTGGTGGTGGCTATGATATATTTGGTGCATTACTATTTTATTTTAAATTTAAATCAGAAAATAATAATAACGCGGTAAAATTTATATTAGTCAATTATTCTTTTACAAAAATGTCTTTGTTAAATGAATACAGTCAAAAGTTAACAAACGCTTTATATAGAGTAACGCCGACAATATCCGACAAATATTTAGATGAAAACATGTATTTTCCTGAATTACGTTTAGCAAACCAATTAAATGAAACATTTTATGCTATTGTTTGTAATTACGAATATACGAAATTAAAATTCATACACGAGGTGTATGAATATATAATGAATAATGAATCAGAATCAGTTGTCGACAAATTATATCTTGTCGGTTGTGGTTCTGATATATTATTAACGGGAAATGAAAAAGAACTAGGTAGGCGACTGAATGCTTAGTTTGATCCCAAAGTTTCTCCATAGTTATTAACTGGAAATTTGAAGTGAACTCTTGTAGCCAAGGAGAAAGATCATAGCTTTTAGAGGATCCAGAAGACGGCGCAGGGACAAAATTTTAGGAAGTTCGAGTATGTTGTAGCGAAAATTTGAATTTCTATTTAGGGCTACAAAAGCTCAGAGTTCTTTTTAGCGTTCTCTTTGAACATAACGCTAAAGCACGTTAACGTTCCTCGAACGTGAACGCTAAACATGACGTTTTCTGAACGTGAACGCGAATGTTCTGATGAATGTTAACGTTATTTTATATGAACGGTGTTGATCTTGTGTGGAATAAATATTAGTGCAAAACGTTATACAGCAATTTCACCTAGTAGTATACCAAGTGAAACAGCTTACCAAATCTGCGATCTGTTCTTGGAAGAATCAATGTCTTGATCAGAGAATAAAGAGGTATCCTTTTTACATTGCAATAATCTGGTCACTGCCCTGAGCAGACCATCTGATCCTTCACTAGAGTTTCTATCGATCAGATAACACCAAGCAGAAATATATATGTTCTTACTACAGTACAAGGACAGAAGTTTATATTTATTTCAGAAAAACAAGTGGAAAATTGTAAATATAATGCAATTCACTCAATACCCCAACGTCTCAAATCTAAACGACAACTTTCCACATAACGAACATAGCCTGAGTCCTGCTTTGAGCATTTTATGATTCCACAATAACGATCATTGATAAAACAAGCTAGCTCCCCCGCAGAAAACGATGCAGCTTTTCGTTCACAAATCTGAAGTGCAAATGCATAAGCTTCTTCTTAAATATCTGGATATTGATCCCAAAAGCAGTCACCTCTTTTATCGATCAGCAACAAACATATCAAAATCATCTTTAATAAAAATTGTAGACCATTTGTATGAAGTTCTTGCTGCAAAAGCTCCAACACTACTGATAAAACCATCAACAACATTATATGGAATACTCAAGTGTCTCAGACATAAGAAGACTAATACACTAAGGTATTTAACATCACAATACTGTTTACATAAAGCCAAAAGTTCATTAATCTTGAGTAAAATGTTCAATTTTGTGTTCTTCAGGATCTTCATATTCTTCATCTTCGCTGGAAGATTCATTAGTTCTGTCTGAAAAATTTGAACTTGAACGTTTCTGTAGACCACAACTACGTGAATGAGAAGTTCTTTTATTTAATTTCGGCATATCTTAAAGGTTTTGAACATGTTAAAACACCTGGGTATACCAGTTTTACTTGATCTTGACTGTGTTAATTAGATCCTAAAAGACCGATTTTTCAGCACTAAGGCTTTATACCCGTCTTTGTCAAAAAACTGCATGTTGACGAAGTTTCACAACTACTTTCATTAAATAGAGTATCGATATGAAAAATATGTGTTCAAGAAACATCTTCGGTTTTGATGAGTTTTGCAAGCGTTTCTGCTAGAAACCTTGGACATTGTACTTGCTCACAGGTGGAAATTTCGAAACTGATAGAATTGTAACAGCAGTTGCTTTTAACTTCACATTTCTATAACCGAAAACTAGAAAAGACCGACGTTTCGAAAAGTCTAATTTTCATTCTCTCGACAATAAAATGTTTTACATGATAGAAAGTAAAACGTTGCATGTATTATTTAATTTCACTGCTGTCGTAATATTACTAAAGACTATTTTAACTTTCTATCATGTAGAAGGTTTTGTTGTCGAGAGAATGAAAATTACATTTTTTGAAACGTCGATCGTTTCTAGTTTGACCAGGTAAATGTTAAGGAGGGGTTCTCCCATTTAGATTTTCCTCTAGCGTTCCCAGTTTTTAGAGGATACTTCGAAGTATATGTCCTGAAGTTTTTTCGGCTTACTGACATTATTTGGCTGAGAAAAAAATTAATTACTTAAAAAAATGTTGTTAAATTTTTAAACAAGGGATTATTCTTGACAAATTTTCTATCCATTATCCATTCATAATAAAATCTTGGTTCTTGCCTAGATCCATAGAGAAATGCGTGGAGAATATTTACTACGAGAAAATATGCAAAAAATTGTGTTCGTTCCTTCCTGTTATTGACTAATTAGTACTAATTAACGTTAATTTAGCCTACTCTACTAGCATAAAGTCCTAAAGAATTCATGCGATATCTCACCTGATAGAAAATTTCACGGACTACAAGATAGACTACCTTAAGAATTTCAGAATTTATTTTTCGTCGCTCGGTAAATCAGGTAAGTCGGAACTTTAACAATATTGTTTAAGTAATTAATTTTTTTCTTAGCAAAATAATGTCAATAAACTGAGAAAAATTCAGGATATATACTTCGAAGTATCCTCAACAAACTGGGAAGGTTCGAAGAAAAAATTCAAAACTTGAAAATATCGCTGGTTTTTGGCTCAGCGAGGATTTTTTCACCCCACCTTACGGCTAGTTTTGCTCGAAGCAAGCATTTTGAAGCAAAACTTTGGGTACAAAAGTTGTTCCGAATCGAATTCTGCAGTCCCTCACGAGAGCTTTTCTTAAAATTTTCTGTTTTTGGTTTTTAAATTAAATTTTACGGTTTTTAAAATCCTAAAATTTCATATTTTTCAGTTTAAAAATCAAAAAAACAAAATTTTAAAAAAGCTCTCGTGAGGACTCCGGAATTCGATTCTGAACAACTTCTGTATCCAGAGTTTTGCTTCGAGCGAAACTAGCCGTAAGGCTTTTTTTCAAAATACTTTCAGCTCTAAAATTTCCTCGGGAAGGTGAAAGTTAAATTTCTCCGTCAAACTTCATTTGGGAACCATGTAAAGTTTTTCTCCTCATACAAATTAATGTTCTCTATCGACCTACGCCAGATGCAACTCTTCATATAAAAAGCTGAAGTTTTTATTGAAATTTTAAAAATAGGGCAGAAAACCCGAAAAAAACTTCAACATTTTTTTATCAAAAACTACAAATCCGGGAACTGAAAGCTTTGTTGAGACGTATACTTCGAAGTGTCCTCCACAAACCGGTGGAAGAAAACGGGTTTTTCAACTATGAATGTTTTCTGTGAAGAGCGGTTCACAGACACGATCCACATATTTTTCCTATCACATCTAAGAGAATCAAAGTCACTTGGATGCTTATCTGCCATTCTGCCGGAACGTTTATTGTGTTTAGCCTGAAAGGATTAGATCAGATGTAAAAACGCTTTCTCGTACCATCTTCTGTAAGATCGTATATGGGCGTCATCATTGCTCCATAGATGTCAATTGAAAGACTGAAATACAGAACTTTGCAAACTATGAGAACTTCGAGCACAGTAATATGTCTGTCTGTGCTCGAAGTTCTCATAGTTTACGAAGCCCTGTACTACAGTCTTTCGGTTGACATCACTCGGTTTACCTAATCACTATCTAGGCAAAATTAGAAAGCTAGTTTTGCTCAAGCAGAATAGAAATAGGTCTGGAAAAGTTCAAGTTTCTTTCCTTGAACGTGAACGCTAAAGGACTAGTGGACG